CTGCTGCTCGTGCTCTGTCTCTCTCTCTCTCTCTCTCTCTCAAAAATAAACATAAAAAATTTTTTTATGAATATATAGAACTTACCAAACTCAACACTCGAAAAACAAATAATCCAGTGAAGAAATGGGCAGAGGACATGAATAGACACCTATGTGTCCTTTAAAAAATCAAGTTAAATATTTACTTTTTTTAAAGTCAGGTATTTGTAGAATATCCTTTTTTTTTCAGCCTCTGCTTGGGGAAGATCTTCTTAAACATACCGCCCAAACCACAAACCAGAGTTTTTCACATAATCATTGTAGGTTCTGCATGAAGCATAACCCACTAGCAAACCGTGGGGCAGGGTTTGCTTCCGTGTAATTGAGAGCATTCTTAATATGTAAAGATTTACTTAAATCAATAAGAAAAAGATGAAGAAGGAAACTAAAAGTGGTTGAAGGATACAGAAAACTCTATACTAACACAGCAAGAATGGTGATTTCCACTTACATCTTGCAGGATGATCTGAATTATGTCTTAACAATTCTAATTTATTTCATAGGTGGAAAATTGTTAAAAATATTTCCACTCTGGAGAGAGAGTCATTGAATAAGCATAAGGGCCTGGTTTATATGCCACGCACGATTCTAGACTGTTGAGGGTTTGCAGTGAATGTGATAAAATCCTACCACTTGTGAAGCTGACAGTGGGCTGGGGTGAAGGACAGTGAAGTAATTGAGGCTGGTGGTAAGTTGTGTCGGATGAGAGGCAGTAACTAGTGGTGTGGGGTCTTCAGGCAAGACCCTGCAAGAGTATTCATTCTCGTTTGCCTGTCGTTTTAGTTGAAACCTTTGCAAACCACAGTTTTAGGCCTGCCTGCCTCGTGTGTATTTCAGAGAGTTGGATTTCCCTGAAATTTGTCCCTCTAGACGTAACATTTGTGCAGAGAGCTATCTGAAAGAAAGAGTACAAGCCCTGTGTCGATCTAGCAGAGAATGTTCCAGGCAGAGGACAACAGATACAAGAGATTACTGGGAATGTGGCATGTCCCCGAAATAGCGAGGAGGCCTTTGTGGCTGGAACAGGGTGGAGGGTGAGGGGCAAAATGGGAGAGGGGGGAGGCAGGGGCCCAGATAGTGAAGGTTTCAGGTGCTTCTGCCCACGATGAGAAGCCACTGGAGGGCATCGAGCAGGGGAGTGACGTTTTAGATGCACACCCTGGCTGTCGTGTGGGGATCTGGTTGTGGGGCACATGATCAACCAGGCAGCAAGTTAGATTTATTGCAATAGATGGGCAGTGGTGGAGGTGGGGAAAAGTGGTCTATCACCTGATTGTGGGGTCCGGAGATATGTGTCTCTCGATTTCCGCTCAGGTCATTATCTCACTGTTTGTGAGTTGGAGCCCCGTGTCGGGCTCTGTGCTGACAACACGGATTCTGCTTCAGATTCTCTCTTCTCCCTGTCCCTCTCTCTGTCTCTCTCTCTGTGTCCCTAACTGCCCCCCCCAAAATAAATAAATATTAATAAAAAATAAAAGGAGCTCTATGACAAAAAAAAAAAAAAAAAGAAAATCCCAGAGCAGCTGAACTAAGGAAGTTCAAGGACAAACTCTCAGTTTGTTGTGTGGCCCTGTCTCGGTGTCCAGACACACGTGACCGCTGGTCGTCTGGCCTGGCCAGAGTCCGCGAGAGGAGCATGCGTGGCTCAAGGGAACAACGGTCACAGGCAGTTCAGATGCCGGCGAGGCTGCGAGGGTGGCAGGAAGGACTCTGGTCATCTGTGGGCCCGGGAGCCTGGGCCCTGAAGGTGTGCCCGGCCTTCCCTCCTCTTCAGATGGAGAGTAGCCTCCAAGTACTCATGCGGCAGGAAGATGTGCTCCTGGGGGAGGCTGTGTGCCCCGGCCTGCTAGCCCCCGGCCTGCTGCCCTCCATGTGGCAGCTCTACCCTGGAAGACGATACCGAGGCTCAGACTCCAGTTTCTGGCGCGTCGTGTACCACATCGAGGCAAGTGTGTCCCTTCTCCCGGGGACCATCGGGTGGCCTTGGGTGGCCCTGCGCCCCCTCCCCCACGTCTGGCCTCCGTTCCCTCCGGCTCTGCAGCGAAAACTAAAAATAACAAGGGCAGGAGCTTACAGCTGCAGGATTTTAAAGGACTGGATGAGAGAGATGTTAGAAGAAGATGAATGACTGGGGCCACCCGCTGAGGTCCAACAGAAGCCCCCTCGGCTGCAGGGGGTCAGGGAGCCTCTCCGGAGGGCAGTCAGGGGGTGAAGGCCTGGTGGGGAGGAGGGGCTCCTAGAATCCCTCGCCCCCAAGCAGGTTCCCGCCTCCCGCTCCAAACTACCGGGAGGCCCAGAGCCAGGAAGAGAAGGATGGAAGGATGCCCAGGGCTCTGGCCATTGGTCCCCTTCTCTCATGCAGTTCAGTGGCACGGAGGAGATGCTCCTTGAGCAGCTGCCGGACCCGGAGTATGAGTGACGAGGTAAGGACCTTTGGGGCGTGAGACCTGTTAGTCTGGAGTGACCAGGTCGGGGAGAAGGAGCAGCCTTTTCGCCACGAAGGCAGTGCTGACTTCCACCCCGACCGCACTGCCCTCCGAGGGTCTCGGGGGCGGGGGTGGGGGGGGGG